ATTTGCCAGCCATTGAGGCGTACGCTGCATGTCAATTGACTTTACGTTTACTTTCTTATATCCGTGCCTGATTAGTGGTATGTTATAGGTGATTTGGGTGATACAACCCAAAATATGTAGTCGTGTTTTTCCCGTTGTTGTCATAGATCATCATTAAGACCTAAAAAACTATGTGAGATGCCCACTACTCAAGAAAGAAATTCACAGTATATTCATAAATTTACAAGAAACAATGAAAAATCTAGAATAAATACTATATGATATGAATATGCTAGCATATATTAGCGTCATGACATGGAGAACTTAGCAAGTACGCATATAAATACCATATTTACTGTAGTAAATTGACTCATCAAACGAATGATTTGTAATGTAAGCAGTTACAATGTTTAAACTATGTTGTATATACCACATTATCTGTAAGTTTTATTGACTGGTTGGTAATGTTTTACGAAGTCAACCCTCAATGAGACCATGGAATGGCGTCCACTAATGATTGAATTAACATACATACTAAGTGATTTGTATTTAGATTTTGTTAACTGTGTACTCATGTTTGTTGCGAAGATTTACATGACGTGATGATTATGAATAAGTTATTATTGTGTATACACGTTACCTGGGCAACACTACTCTCAATAGTATTACGTATTGCCACAATCTTTGTGAATTTCTGTCATTATTGTAAAAGTTCTTAAATATTCATTGAAAGCAACCCAGAGTCGGCTAGATGTGATGTGGAGTCAGCTCATTGTTGAAAACACGCTCACCGAGGATGACAGCAGTTATGTAAAAAGCTGAGTCGGCGGTATATGACTGACTTAGTGGATATGGGTATTATATTGTAACAAGTACTTAGGTGGTCGTCGCCTTTGTTATTGTAGGAAATCCAAGATAGTTAAAACTCTCAGATCTGCTGGCAGGAAGGCTGGAAAGGAACCCAGACCTATTCCATCTAATAACTAATTATAAAGTGTATGTTTTCCCAAACCATATAAACAGCTTATGCAGTGACATCGTTGCCTTACTGCACCATCGCTTCATGATCAATAAATACATGATCGTGAACAAAATCGAATGTACAATGTTCATCAAAATGCATTATAACAGTATTTAGTAATATGATGGTTCCACCTAATGATAACCAATTAAATGACAACGTTATTCAATTGATGATCTGGTTGGGTTCAAGGTAAATAAATAACAACCTATCAAGCACTCCTGCTACCCGCATGTGGGAATAATGTTTCTGCTGCCGCGTACTCTGTCCAGTCATTATTAACCAGTCTGCTGCATTGGACCCACGTAAATAGCTTTTTTGTGTTTGAATCAATTACTATAGTCAGTTGCTTTCTAAACACTTGAAGCCATTACCCAAAACGTAGTGCCTTTAACTTAGAAACGTCTATAGCTTCATGTTTAACCAGTTGCAATTTCCAAGTCATCATGTCTAAATTGCATGTAGACTATAAGTCTTGGATTATTTGGAAAGTTGCATCTGCAAGGTTTCCCAGACTATTTCTTTCTAATAATGGTTTGATGTGGGCTATAAGTTATTTTGCTGACTATTGCCTCTTGCGGTACCTATCACCAACGAAGTATACATGCTGATTTTACACCTGGCTATTTAGCTTGCACTCACAGAGTAACTACGACTGACTTGGACCGATGTCTCATGATAGTTCATGCTTTAATGATTCAATTTTGTAGCAGCTCTGGTGGGCTTATATTGTCCCAGTCTCGGTGTACCAACGAGTACATAACGTAATTACAGAGATTAGAAGAGGCTAATGCTATGAAGCAGAGGAATTCGCCTTTTTCTAGTGGCTACATTATCTGTCTTCTCCTAATCATTACATGCATCTAGACTTGCTCAATATAGTTACACACCAGTTCAACTGAACAACTTTCTAGTGGTGTTGGATATGAATGGTGCTTATCTACATAATCCAATGCACCCTCGCATTTTGGCGGTTATAGGGTTTTGTAGTCAATATTAGGGAATCGCAGTAAAGCAAAAGACTTACACGAGTTAGCATTCTTTTGTCCAACAATCACCCACATCAACATAATCTGGCTGCAGGAAAACACATCAACAACTAATTAGTGCAATATTTATTTGAAGGGACACTAAAGCTCAGTTCTATCTAGGGAATTTAATTGGATGCTGATGCGTCCTTCAAAAGGTATCTGCTTCAGGGAACCTACTCAGACTAAAAAAGTCAATTTGACTAGACAGTGCAGAAGGCCCTGCGTTGAGGACAAATCTTTACCATCTGGTAACAGGGATTCCTCACTTAATTAACAGTGTCAATTATCACAGAAGCACTAGAAGATGGGTGGAGATAAACATGATGAACCAATATACACATAAAATCTGGAAGACAAAAATAGACCGTCAATCACATCTATTGAAAGAAGCCAGACGGAACATTCCTGAGACGTGACAACACTATGACGCTTTAAATGAGAGAGGAGTCAGCGTTTCTTAACAAACTAACAGTGGGCACCCTGATGTGCAAATCAGAAAACAATATTCATAAAGTTAATTTTATGAAAGGGGATTGCAGATCCATCTGTTATTCGTAAACATACGACGTGGACAAATGGAATAAAATATAAGCAATTAAATCCATGTGCCGATTATTGTGCCCCAACAATTACGATGTTTTCTGCGTAGCCTTGAAACATATTTTGTTTGAATAACACGGTAAAGGTTTGTCACGACTATTGTGTGACTTGCAGCGGTATTCGTAAACATAAAGCACAGTTATTTACGCTGTATAGGGACAAGTACTGTGTGAAATCTAGCAATGTTTCACGCCGCAAAAACACTGAAGCCTGCGGTTACTTCAAATATCAAAGGCATGGTAACGAACATTGCAATCGCAAGTAGTGACTTTACGCTATACATTTGTATCACAGCACCTTTCCTTGCAGCCATCGACTTTTCTGATTTGTACAAACTGTGTACCATAATTACTATTACAATTCAATCTGTCGATTATTCTATGCGTTACTTGCTATACGTTATGGCTAATGGGTATACGACTAATCTACTAAAATTAATCAATTAAAAATGCATTTAGCTGATCGTCATTTTTTCTACTACTGTCATACGTTTTGGGGTGTTTCCAAAAGGCTAGAATAAAAGGAATTAGGATTAAGTTTTTAGTGTTTTCCAGCCATCGTTGTAATACAAGGCCAAAGTACATAGTGAATTACCAAATGGCGTTTAACTTCGTTTAACTAGGAGTTAATTCTAAGTATATCACAATAAGCGCAGAACCAATCAAATTAGTATATACTTACCCTATAAAATTGAGCCTCACATTACCCATGTTTCATTGGAAAACTGAATAATTACGCTTCATGGATCATATCGCAGCGAATTATAGGGAAGTTCAATTTGTAATCTTCAAAAGACTACATACTAACGCATGTGTATACAGTGAAGGTAATAAAGAAATATGAATTTTGAAGTGCTCCCCGTTTTGGGGGTTAATAAACGCAAATGTTTAAAAGATTTTGGAGGAGTATTTCTGACATTTAAAACTTTAAAGACCTTCAGAAACTGTCTTTTTGATTTTGTTAACCACCACACTAGTGTTCATATATAACTGTTATAAACTAGGTTATGTTCACGATTCATAGTTTTTACAAGGTGTTAAATCATACACACAATCATAAGACCATAATTACTATAAGACATATTTGTATATCTTAAATTTCAAGTTTCGTTAAGTCCAGCACAAATATAGGACCACATATATTAGTATATTTAAGCAGCAGTAGGGTTTTAGAAACACAGGTTAGATGATAATAGTAGTTTTGCAAAAAGTAACTTCCCCTGTTATAAAATACGTATAGGTATACTAAACAAGCCGGTAGGCTGATTGACGATTTGCACCACTCAAAAACACATGTTTCCGGGTGTTGCCATGGAAGGACATGAAAGTGAAGCGACATATACAAATTTCACAAAGAGCATTCAGTATTCAGAAGTCACTTCACTTCATTACTAGTACGTCTTTTTGTCGTTATTATATTTGTTGACCTAGATTTCAATAAGATGGCAAACCTTTTCATTTATTTCCGCAATACTCCGTTAGCAATGTGAAATATGAAATTATTTGTTTACCATGACACGATTACTAAATTTTAGTTCAGATTTTACCACCTAACTAGAGTGTGACGTGCCTGCCAAGTTTGAATAAAATCTGCCAAACCAAAGAAATCACAAAAAAGTTAATACATGTATCCACACAGAAAGTCAGTACACACACACACACCCATAGACAGACACACACACACACACACACACACAAGTGATTTTAAGGGCAATTCTAGGGGAGCGGATTGCCAATAAATATAACCGCGTTTACTGCTATGTCTTTGATCACACTATGGATTCCACCATCTAAAGATGATTGATATCATTCTAATATGTTTTGATCTTTATATAGGTACTACTATGAAAGCTTTTACGCCCTTGGCAAACGAAGTGCTGAGCCGGAACTTCCGCCTCGTGTCCAAGATCAGCCACGCGTTTCGTGTGATAAATACGAACAAGGTAGCTGTAGATGGTATGACGAATGGAACTTTGATCACATTAAAGAGTACCAACGATTGAAAAGAGACTTACATTGATTACCACTGTGGATTTCGAAGGGAAGTACTGATTCTTCTATCGGATAAATGTTTCATACACCTGGTGTTTCTTGATACTCCTTCAGGGGATTATTTTATGTGGACTGCGATTACTCAGAAAAATAGATGATTTGTATCTTCTTATTTGCCAAATAAACTATATTAGAATGCGCAAAATTCCGTATAGATTGATATTTATCTCTCTATTTATAATTAAATCAAATGATGTCAAACCAAATAGTAGAATATGAGTTAGGCTAGTGGTTTTACTCACACACAATAAACATTAATTGCCGTCCAATATAACGTTCACCAATACTGTCAACACAGTGAAAGAATTAATAACATTGCTGTTCTGGTGCACACAAACAGCTTAGATTTAATTTGCTAGTTGCACATCGGTAATGTCTGTTTGATTGTTATGATTACGTAATTAATGTGAGTCGGCTTTGCGCATATTCAAGTTGTCAACATGAGCGAAGTCAAAACACTGAGCGGAGGGTTAAATTATCGTGCAGAAGATTGTTAATGTTTTTAGCTTTTCTGTTATCTATGATATATGCTTATTCGCCATCTGTCGCCACATAGATCAGTACAATATATTTGATACTTTATATCGAATTTGGATAGAACGATATCGAATAATACAATTGATTGGTGATGACGTAATCAATTCATTATATTTAGTGTATCCATTTTTAATATATTGATTTCATTTCTGATTTTCTGATTGGATTGAAATTTCAGGTGGTTATATGAACAGTAAAAACGGTGGGGAGGTCATATGACCTCATTGTTTACACAAGTATGACTCTTAGCCAAATCATATTCATATAGTTCTGCTGTAAACGTAACATGGGCAGTATTGGTATGTCAACCAAATCGTTGATACTTGATACATGCAATATATATAGGCCGATTTCAGACTGAGCTAGGTACCACCTAGGGAAGGACACTAATGAGACTTCGTTTTTATAACTTATTACCAAATGTGGGAAGGGAACAATCGGGTTATGGCCCAGTTTAGGGAGCACAAATGTTGATTCTATCAAAACCGACTATGTATTACAGCAAATGAAATAAAACCATAACTCGGATTAAAACAT